CAACAAGTTATTAATTAGTCTCATATACTGATTAAACAATTTCATTAATCAAACTGATTTTACAGAATCGTATGTTATTTCAATTATCGCGAGTTAAATAATTTTTCAATGCACCTGAATACAATCCCAGAAATTCATCGACGTATACCGACACCGATGTGTTTCATTTTAATTAATAACTCGAGGCGAGATAAATTATTTCATATCTACCAACGTGACAATAAAATATCCCATGAACAGACTTACCGATTGATCTCGGTGATACGATTTTCGTCTAAGTAGATCGCCGTCAAGTTCTTCATGTTTTCAAACGAGTGCATCTTCAAGGTAGTGATCTGGTTTCTGCTCAGATTGATCTCGGTGATCGTCGACAGGTTGTAGAACGTGTACTCTTTCACCTCCTCGATGCTGGCGTCTTGGAACGTGATCACTTGCAGATGGATCAGCTGTCTGAACAGTTGAACTGGTATCTGCCTGAGCCAGTTCGGCATCCTGGCCATGAACTTCAGCTTCTGCAGGTACATCTGCGAGGTGAAGTGGCCCCAAGCAGGGTCGTCGACGCGGACCTCGTTCAGTATCAAACACTTAGCGTCCGTGGCGTTTCTCAGTTTGTCGCTATCGCAGTCACAGTACAGCGACTGTTTAACGTCGACCTCGCAGACGTTTATTTCCTTCGGTTCCTTGGGAACCTTCTTTTTTCCACGGGACCGAGTCGTCACCGAGAATCCCGTCTCGAACAACGACGTCAACAGCAATAGCTGAATCAAAGCCCAGGTCAATCGCTTCATGACGATGCCGTGAGTTCAAATCTGAAAGCAGAAAAGTTCCTCGGTTGAGCACGTGTCTCATCGTTCAATTCATGTATTCTATATGTGTGGCGAAAAAAAAAAACGATTACACCAATACCTCGCTTTGCGTCGTTTCGTTTTGCGTTTTTTCGAAATTGCGTCGCTGCTTAATTAGTACTAATTTTCACTGTGCGTCGTTAGATTTTCGAGGTTGCGTTGTTTTCGGTTCGAGTCTTTAAGGCTCGAATTTATAGTCGCTTCTCGCACTTGACACTCAGCACTCAAGTGCGTCCCATCAATGTACACATTGTTATGTTTAAAAAGAAGTGAGAGTAGTGGAATAGCTGCGCAATAGTTTTTCTCCTTTTCCGCTTCTTTCACTTCTTTTTCAAACATGAAGTATAAAACTTTTAGAATCTGAACATAACATAAATGTGTACATTGAACGCATGATGTAAAAACATAAGGTGTGTTCTTGCGCATCCATTTGAACATCCATCTGTACACGGACACTTCCACTCGTTGGCCATTTTGGATTTCTAACCAATCACGCTTCATATTAAAACAGAGCGAATTTTAAAATCGTAAACATGTCAAAAATTAGGTACTCGGAGTGTAATATATATGCGTGTTTGAAATAAACAATAGGTCATCGTACTTCCAATATGGCCGATGAGTGGAAGGCGCAAACAGCGACACATTTGAACACGGCGGAAGAACACACCTTATGTTTTTACATCATGATATTATTGACCAAATGTTTACATTAATTTGTATAACAATATGGTGCAAGTATTTAAAATCTAATGGGCGCAGAGTGACGGCGAGGAACGAGAAGAAGTAATTGAAAGACGCGAGTCCGAAGCCCGGTTCCTTTGACCGCAGCTTATCGGTGGAACTAAGCTCGTTTGCGTACACAAGACGACGGCGAGTCTCCTTAACCGGCTTGCCCTGGCCTGGCCTTTTCAGTGAAATTACGCGGCCCAGCG